ACCTGCCACCGACACAGTGGCTTTGGTCTGACTGCGACCCCTCTGAAGGCGAATTCTCAACAGGGCTGGTCACGGGGCTCGAAAGCATGTGCACCACTGAGGAGAGTGCTTTAAGGCCAGACCTTGGGCTGGAGGAAGAGTCACACTCTGCTGTCTTCCTCACAAAATCATCTGAGCAGTAGGCTGCACAGAGGTCACAGGGTCCAAGACTGGAATCTTCCTGCTGGGCCAAAGACCCCTCAGGTAGGCACTGGCCTGTTCGTAGTAACTGCAGCCCCATGTGTCCCTCCCCAGGAGCTCAGCCTGTGTCTTCCAAGATGGGTTGGCCCATGGCTCCCCAGCCTCTACCCACATCCCTATTGCCCCTCCTATGCTGGCCCACTTCTTCCTGGGAGCACTGAGACCCCCTGCTCCATGCTACTTCCTCCCATACTGCTGACCTCCCTTCATTCAAGTCCCTTCATCCCATTTTCTGTGGTCCCCTGTCTTGGGCCACCTCCTCCCTACATCCGTAAGTCCCCTGGTAGCCACACCCTTGTCCACTCAATGGCAGCTTTCCTAAGGGTACATCGCCTGCTGTCAACAATGTCTGCAACATGCAACACATCAGACTCTCAAATTATCAAATTACTAAACAAGCTGCTACACCATGGTGGCTCAAAAACGCACATTGCAAAGGCCAAAAGCCCCAAAGCTGAAATTCACTGTGCAGGAATCAAGGTGTGGATGGGGCCTTGTTGCTTCTGCAGGATTCAAGGATAGACCTTGCCTCATCCAGCTTCATGGGCTTGTGACTCCATCACTCCCATCTCTGCCTCTGTCTTCTCGTGGCTTTCCCTTCTGTGTTCAATCTCCTTTCCCCTGCCTCGCAGAAGCACACTTGAAATGACATTCAGGTCCCAACTGGATAATCCAGGATGATCTCTCCATGTCAGATCCTTAGTTCATCTAAAAGGTAGAATGATGAGGGAGCAAAGGAAGGACATATTTACAAGAGGGAGAAAAAAAAGAATGGCTAATTGTTGATTATAGATATCTATCTTTTATCCCAACCTAGTTCAAGGACAGCCTACAAGGTCTTATGCCATACTATCAAGGCAATCAAAACCAGGACTGAGAAATTGTCATATCCGAGAGAAGATTAAGGAGACATGATGACTGCTATAGTGTCCCCTAAGGTTTCATGTGTGGAAATTTAGTCCCTACTGTGAGATCCTAAGAGGGTGGAGTCAGGTGTGAGTCAGACACCCAGAGAGGTGGTAACAGATGTTGAGTCCAAAATGGTGGTTTTTGGCTGGCAGGATCTGGGCTTTCCTCAACAGGGGCTCCATTCTTTCCTCTGTGTGAGAAGTGGGGTCCTAGCTACCTGTTCTTTGTGGTTCCCACTGCAATAGAACAGTGCACAGCTGTCTCTGCTTGTTTCTGCTGCTCTAACACAAAGTGCCACAGACTGTATTATCTCTAAGTATAGAGATTTATTTCTTGCAGTTCTAGAGGCTGGGAAATGCATAAGGGATCAATGGGTTGGGTGTCTTGGCTGTTCCTCTCAGTTTGCACTGTCTAGGAGTTGTCACATGGGGAAGAGATGGAAGAACAAAAAGGCCCTAACTAGTTCTTTACTGGAGCCCTTTTATGTAAAAGTACTAGGCCTATTCACAAGGGCTGAATTAACCACCTCCTAACATCCCCGCCTCTTGAGAATATCACTGGGTTCTCAGATTCCACCTTCTGGGTTTGGCGGGGACACACACATTCAAACCACAGCAGCTCCGTACCCAATGGAGCCTTCTGCCCCTTGACCTGGCTCTAGGGAAAGGAGGCTGTTCCCACTTGCTTGGCCCTTAAAGGACAGCTGGAGTAGGATCAGGACTGGGTCAGGGAGGAGGTTGGTGAGGCATCAGAGAAAGGATGGGCTCAGGGCAGGTCTGGAGAAGATGTGGATGGTGCTGCTCACATCAAAAGGGATTCACCTATTGCTCACCTTTCCCTATCCCCATCCCAATTTGGGCATCTTGGCAGGGCCATCCCCAGGCTTCCACACTGGAAGCCCAGGCAGTGAAGGCTTGGGCTCAGCTGGGCAGCCCAGGCCTAGAGAGCCTGGAGGATGTGCAGGCAGCCTGGGTCTCTACTCTGTGCCGTCTTGTTTCTGTAGCCTCCCTTTTGGTTGAGTAAGACCAGAGAAGCAGTTTTCTAGGCCTCCTGTGGATTTGAGAGACTCTTTTTCACAACCCCTTGACCTAAGCTGTCTCAGTGACCTCATCCACATCTCTTACAGTGTAAGCCATCCTTACCTGGCCCTGAGCTTCCCTCCCTGGCCTTCAGTGCTTCTCTTAGGGCTCTCAGTGGCTACACCTGTACACAGGCAGGAATCAGTCCAGACTGTATCCTTCAACCTAGCAGTAGGGACAGTTCCTGTGAGGCAGAGCTTAACTGAGAAGAGACAGGAAGAGGTGCGAGGCTTTCCCTGATTCTGGCTCTTCTCAAGTGCCTCCAGGATTGCATGTCACGGTCTTCTATGGAAAGGACTCTCTGCACCCGTCCTGTTGTTGTTGTAGTAGACATGGTGATCTTCCAGCCAGAAAGCATGCTTTGTGTGTCTGGTAATCAGAGAAACCCTCAGGATAAGGTTGTCCAGCTGCCATCACACCCTGACCCATGTTCTGGTGAGGAAAGGCAGGTGTGCTCAATGTCAGCCAGCCAACAGGCTCACTTCTAGTTTGCATTTGAGGGGTAATCCTGGGCAGAGGTTAGCTGAATTGCAGGCCCATGTGCCAGGAGATAGCAGCTCACTTCCTGGTACTCCTGTAGCTGTAGTGGTCAGGAGGACCCATGGCTTAAGCAGTGTCCTGGTCTCCCATTGGTCAGCTGTATCAGCACGGGAGGGGCCACACCTTAGTATATATTTCAGGTGGTCATAGGAAGGTGGAGTTGTGGTGGATCACCAAGCCTGCTATAGTGGCAGCCACCAGCTTGCCCTGGAAAAGCCCTTCATTCTCCTCCCTCATCCAGGTGGAGTGGCAGTGGGGACCACAAAAAGCTGTCGCATCTAGGTCAGCTGGCTGTTCTTACCTCCAAGTGAGGACCCATGCAGGACAGGGATGTGTTGATGCTACACTGGATCTTTCAAGAAGTAGAAAGTGACTACAAGCCAAGAGATGCAGGGAAGGTAACCTGAGAAACTGGAAAAGGTGGAGAAATGGATTCTTCCCCAGCCAACTCCAGGGATCACAGCCCTGGGGACTATGGTCTCAACCCAGAGAAATTGATTCAAACTTTTGCCTCCAGATCCAAAGTGAATACATGGGTGCACTTATAAGCTGGTGGTTTGTGGCAACTTGTTCAGTGGCAATAGGAAACTCATGCCTCCAGTCGCCCAGGGAGGAAACACAAAGGAATATTTGTGCTCTGAGAATTTGATCCTGAAAGTCCCAGCAGGAGCAAGGGATAATGGGAAACTACTTTGCTTGGACCAAGGTTAGAAGCAAGATCACCTGCCCAAAGAGGATCCCAAAGGCCAGGTTTTAGGATGGAGATTCTGTCTTTGGCAAGCTCGTGGGGCTGCGGCCAGCACATCCTAGGTTTCCCTCTGAGCGTGGAACTTTTCTGGGTCAGGCACAGTCACTGTTTCAAGTTAGAAGCTCAAGTGGCACAAGAAAGGTCTTATCCTGGAGTCTGAGCCCGATTTCTAACCCTCACTGGTCAGCTTGTGTCTTGGGCCAATCCTGTTTCCTGGGGAGCTGAGGTGGAGGCAGTCATTGATTGGAAATCTCCTTGTCCCCCAGCCAAGTTGAAAGTGGTAATGTGTGTGTCTGGCTGGGAAGCCGGGCTTCTTCAATGCTGCACTGATTCTGACTGCTGCTTTGACAAAGGGAAAGAGGCAGGAGGGATTCCTGTGTGTTGAGCCCAGATGGAGGGGCAGCCAAGGCTGCCAGTGTGAGGACTGGAGCCATTCAGGCCAGCCACAGGCCGAGCTGTATGAGTCTTCTCCCAGGAGGCTTCCTCCTGTCCCTGCCCTGGCTTCAGAATGTAGCCCAAGTGGTCCGGGCATCAGCCTGGTGGGGGCAGCAGTCTGAATAGGGTTAGTATGGGCATGGTTCCCCCGTGGTAGGGTGAATTGGTGAGCACTAGATCCACAGGTCCCTGGTGAAGGCAGTGGCCCACCTTTGCCCACCCCCTGCCTTGAATAGGTCTCCAGCCTCAGTCACCATGAAACTTCCTATCTAGTTCAGTATCACCCAGGATACACAAGATCCTGGTGAGCTGCAAGGGTTTTCCCCTTACATCCTTCCAGGACCCTCCTTCTTCCCAGCCCTGACAGGGCTGCTACTGTAGGACCTGTTGCCGATGGCTGAGTGTGGCCAAGAGCTGTGGGCTAATAAGTGCCTCTCTTTTAGGCTGCTCTGACAATGAGCTTGGGGCTGTGACTAGGAGCGTTCACTCAAAGCAGGGACGAGCACAGCATTGTTCTGCCCAGGACACACTCGGGGCAGTCAGTGGCCATGATGGTTGCCAGAGAGCCTGGAATTCCTAGCCTTGTGACTTGTCTCTGCACCCTAACGTTAGTCTGAGTTCTGGGGACAGTGGGCCTTGGGAGGGATGCTAGTTGAGCCCACCTTTTGTCTTTTCCAAACCTCATGGCCCAGTGCACAGAGAGCACACCCCTGGAGTCTTGGAAGCCAGTGTTTATTTAGAAGAAAAAGTGGGCTCCATCAGTGGATTGGCATTTGGAGAGGTCGGGGGGTAGCACTGTGCTGTAAGAAGGGTCCTCCAGCTCTCTCACTAGCACTGTGGTTCATGCTGCAGCCAGATGGCACCTTGGGCTGAAAAGACAGGAAGACCATGGGGTGGAGAGACAGGAGGCAGCTGAGAGGGAACAGCAGAGTAAAGATGGCTGGGGTCTGCAGCCAGGGGTCAGGAGGAACAAAGGCAGCCCGGAGACCCCCAGCCCACCCTGCCCTGGCCTTGCATCAGCCCTCTGCACAGCCATACTTACTGCATGTTCAGTCATCGATGCACTGATTCTCTGTGGGGGAGAGAGAGAAGACAGGTGTGTGTGTGCGTGTTTGTTGTTGTTGTTTATGTGGGAGAGAGAGAGAGAGAGAGAGAGAGAGAGAGAGGATGGATCTCGGTCCCAGGACTACTGCACTGCCTCTGACTGCCTCAGTTCCAGCTTGGCCCAGCTGAAGAAGACCTGAGGCTTCCAGGAATTCAAAGTATAGAGAAGGGGAAGTCAAAGGGCTGGGGCTCACAGCTGCTGGGGCATAAAGGACTCAGCTTGTTTACCTGTTGGCCATGGCAGCTACTCAGCCAGTGGCCATTCATAGCCTGAGTGGAGCCCCCTGCCAAGAGGTGACCACTTGAAAGTAAAGACACCCCCATATCAGGAAGGACCAAGCCCCAGGACAAGTGGGACATGACCAAACCCAAGATATGGAGAAGAGGTGGCTCAGAAGAGCAAAGCCCATGCTATGGAGATGAGGTGGACCAGGAAAATGAGACTGGGGAGACTTGGGCCTGGGCCTAAAATTTTCATCTGACCAGGCCTTGGCTAGACTGTCAGGGGAAGCACTTCGGGCTAGAGTCCCAGAGACCACAAGGTGGAAGCCACCATCTGTTCAGAGACAGGACTAGGATACTGAGTCTCTCCTCTCCCTTTTTCCTTGTAGGGCAGCATCAGGCCTGGACAGAACCACATCCCCTTTCCCCATCCCAAACGTCCATTACCCATGTGCTCAATGAAGAAGATGTAGTCATCAGAGAGACCCAGAGATCTGGCAAAGTTGAAGAAGTGGTCCTCCACTTCAGGGCTCAACTCCTTGGCCCTCCCTGTGGCCAAGATGGTGGAAAGTGGGCAATACAGAGAATTCTGTAATTTATATTATGATTTTTGACATGATATCTCATTATATAGTTCAGGCTGGCCTTAAACTCTCAATTCCCCCTGCTTCAGCCTACCCAGTGCTGTAACAACAGGTGTGGGCCACCGCCCCTGCCTCTCTATATAAGCACAGCTGAATGAATGAATGAATGAGACCTCAGACTGCTTTCCCAGGGAGGCTCTGTGGAAAGACTTTCTCCCTAAGATGGGAGCTTGAACCAGAGAAGACTTGGGGCTCTTGGGGGATTGGGGCCCCTCCCACTGGAATGACCGGGAAGCAGGTCCATGAGAGGATGGGGTGACAACTCGCCATAGAGAATGAGTTCAAAGTACTCCGTGTTGTTGAAAATCAACTTGTAGAACACCATGGCAAACTGATTGTAGTCGGTGGCTACCACTCTCATGGTGTAGTGCTGTAATCCTTCAAAACCTGCATGTAGATGCCAAGGGGGCGTCCCTTCCTGACCAAGAGGAAGTGACAGTCCCCTTCCTCCCCGGCCTGTCTCCCTACAGAGAGAATCTGTGTGGAGGTGAAGGCAGGCCTGTGCCCTTTTGGAAGGACTTTGGCTCCCAAACCCCAACCCCAAGGACCCTCTCACTCAGGACTCACCTGCCAGATTGCCCAGGGTGAACTGTCCAGGTTGTTCACTTGGGACTATAGTGCTGCTCTTGTGATAACAGCCCTTGTCACTGTGAGAATGAGACATGGAGCAGGCGTGAGCAGGGAGAAAACACAGGCTTGGGCCCCCGGGCTGTGTTAAGTTGGCCCAGGGCTACAGCAGGATTCTGAGACCATGGCCCAGCCCAGCCCATGAGAGCCTAACCCCTCCATGGCAGGGGGCCTGCCTGGCCCACAACCACAGCCCTGGGGCTTCCCTTCTGAGCCTCTGGCTGGTCTGCTGTGGGTGCCCTCTGACCCTCCCTCCAGCACTCACTGACTCCTCCGCAGCCTCCCCGGAGCAGCCTGTCCCACACACAGACTCCAGGCCCTGAGCCCAGCTCTTACCTTGCTGCCCCACTTTTCTACCTCTCGGCAATTTCCACAGAACTTCCAGTCTGCTCCACACCAAGCACTGCCCTGTACTTTGAGACAATATTGACCTCTCCCTTGAGTCCAGCCCACCCCTGCACTCTAGACCCAGGTTCCTAAACCCTCCTTCCTGTGCCCCTCAAATACTCCAATTGCAATCCAATCTGTGGCCCATGCCAGAAATCACTGTAGTTGGATGACAGTCATCTCTGTCCTGCAACTTCCCACCGGTACACTGGGAGTTTTGTGCATCTCCCTACAGCATCTGTGCCAAGATTCTGCCTGGTTCAGGGCATGATGCCTCAGAGATTGGTCTAGGAGCGCTCCCCTCCCGGCTGCTCCTCAGCCCCTGCTCAGGTGGCCATGCTGATGATGGCTGGCTGATTTGCTGCCTCCTAAGGCGAGACTGTCTGACTCAGAGTACACCAGCCCCTGCTGTGACCCCTGTGCCTCCTCCTTTTAATGGTGGTAACAGTAGTGATGGTAGTGGTACTGGGCTACATCCATAGCCCTGATTTTACTTTTCATTTTGAGACTGGATCTCCTAAAGTTGCCCAGGCTGAATTCAAACTTGTGATGCATCTGACCCAGCCCCTGGAGCTGAGCCTGGCAGGGTGGTAGGTAGGGTGAGTCCTTTAAAGTCACTTTCCTGCCCTGGGTGGTGCCTCTGACACCTCTGTCTTCTTTTCTCCAGAGTGTGTTCATTTTTGTTGTAATCATCTATTAATATTGATGGCATTGAGGGGGGAAGAGTGGGAGGAAGCAAAGAAGGGAGAAATAGAAGGAGAGAAAAAGGTAAGAAGGGAGGATAAGGCAAACAAGAGGAGGAAGGGACGCAGACTGATTAAACACAGAACAGTGAGATGAAGGACAGTTTCTTTCATTTAGCTAAGCATAGGGTTACCTGTCAGAACCTCAGGAGGTTGTGGCTTTACCTGAACCAGGTGGCATTGACATTGTAGCTGTGGTCATCTTTCAGCTCATAGGTGGAGTTTAACTTGAGTCCTTGGCTTAGGCTTTCATTCCAAATTGTGTTCTGTGCCCAGCCTATGGGATACCAGTGCCCCTGGAACTGCAGAGGGCTCATGACAGGCAGAACTCAGGGATGTGTCCAGAGCCACCCCTCCCACATCGGCCCTTCTGGTACCTCTGAGAATGGGCTGCCCTGAGCAACTGGAAGGGGCTTGGGTCTTCCAGGTCCAAGAGGGACCACATGTGAGGAGTTAGCCCTGAATTTCTAGGGGCATGGCTCGCAGAACCCCTTTTTCTTTTTGGTGAGGGACAAGAAACATGAACAAACAACCAAACATGAAGAGGACTGGATTCCCTGGGTGCTCCCACTCAGCAGTGCTCTAGAGGCCATTGGCCTCTCCCTTGCTCTGCTCCTGTGCTCTGGGCCCTCCCTGCAGTTGCCCTTACCCGGTCATCCTGGAAGTCTGGCTGCAGGGGGATCTGGCTCAAAGGTGGCACTGGGATCCAGAATGAAGGTATGTCCTGGGCTTGGGTCTGCAGGGCCCCCAGCAGGATGAGGCCCAGCCACAGGAGACCCAGGGCCATGGCTTCAGAGCAGGTTCTGGGCTTCCAGGCGTTGAAGAAGAGCTAGCAGAACTGAGGAGGTCAACCAGAGGGAAACATTTATGATCACCACTCTGTTCCCACCCACAGGGGTGGGCTGATTCATCCTTTCCTAAATCTCAGAATTATGACCCAATTGACAGCAACACCTTCAGAAATACATGAAAATAACCCTCCCATCAGGATTGTGCAAGGTGTGAAAGGGCAAGACGGAATGAGACAGGAGGGCCATGCACAGACCTCCAGTGTGTCATAGACAAGGTCTCTATCTGGGTCCTCACCGTGCCTCTTCCCTTCGTTTGATTGTCCCTGCCTACAGGTTAGCAGCTAGAATTCTTGACAAGCTCTCATGCCTGACCCCGTGAGCCCTGGGTGTAGATGTGAGCATCACAGTGTCAATTCGGCGTACCCACAGAGAGCAAAGAACAAGGTAGGCATGAAGGAGACAGGAGCATTGCTGGCATTTTGAGATCAGCCTGGCTGATGCAGTGAGTTCCAAATCAGAATATCATATAGAGGGAGAGCCAGTCTCCTGAAAAAAACGAAAGAAAAGAAAAAAGGAAAGCAAAATGTGTTCATACGTATAGTTCCTGTGCTTCATTCTGGATCTTTTAAGGTCAGGAAATGGCAGGCAGCTGACAGCAGACAGTCTGCACAGAGAAAGACAGGATGCCTGCTCTAGGCCCAGTGAGCCCACCCTGACGCTCACAGGCCCAGGAACAGATTGCGATGCCTTGGGCTCTGCACCTGCCCTGCACCTCGGCCCCCATTTGCAGGAGTAGATAGGACAACAGGGAGGCCTCGAGGAATTGCCCACTTCTGTGAGCCCTGTAGGCAGGAGCCCAGAGCCAGGTACAGGAGCCATAGATTGGGCTTCTTGAAAGAGCTGAAAGATGAGGCTGCAGTGACGGCTGACAGTGGAGCCCTGACAGTGACCATGGGGAGAACATAGGAGGCAGGCATCTACCTTCATTACAGGCCACATCTGCCTGACACTCATGCAGCTCTCCCTCTCCCCATACTTAGGGAGAAAGGTAGTAGGGGCCACAAAATTGGTGTCCAGTGCTTTCAGAGAAAAGTGTCTCATCCAGGTCAGCTGACTAAGGTGAGAAGCCAAGCCGAAAAGGTGTTTGTTGATGCCCCACTGCATCTTTGAGGGAGGAGGAAGGGACTGCAGGCCAAGTAATGCATGGAAGGCAGCTTCAGAAGCTGGAAATGGTAGGGAACTGGATGTTACACTAGTAACACCCAGGGAGCCCAGCTCTGGGTACTATGGTCCCAGCTCAATCTTTGGCTTCCAGAACCAGAAGAGAATACATGTATGCTATTTCAAGGTAGTAGCTTGTGGTAACTTATTACAGTGGCTCTAGGAGAAGCCAACCTCCCAGGAAAGAGGTGTCTATAGAAGGGGCCAGGTACCAGCCCAGTGCCTTCTGCTGAGTGGTGCCAGCCAAACTGTGCTTGGTTGCTTTCAGAGCCTTCTCTCCTTAGGGGCTGAAGGAAGTCACTGGAGCAAATCCCAAACAGCATGTCCCTGAAGCTGCCTCAGTTCGCTGGCTCTGCACCTCCAAGACAGCTCCAGGGCTACTTGGGATCACTCAGGGCTGGGTTGTGGAAGCCTCATCAGATGATTCCATGTCCCTACCCTTGCCTTTATTCACCTTCACAGGAGGGCATCTTTAGAAAAGCCAAGTTTGTCCCAGGAGCCCTCTTGTCTCACCTGCTTCCTTGAAGCCATTCCCTCACCAACTAACACCACCTCCACAATTATGCCCGGGTGCCAGGTGGGCCTGAAATAATGGACTTAGGCACCTGGGGGCAGCACTTGGATGGAACAAGGAATCAGTCGTGCCAGAGCCAGGGTGGGATGGAAGGTGGAAGCAGCAGATGTAAACAGGCCCCAAGGAAGAGAGGTAAAGGTGGATGGCAGGCTGCCATCCCAGGCATGACCCATGGGAGGGGGCACTCATGACACCCCAGCTCTGCTTCCCCTACCCTAGATACCTTTGAGTAAAACTCTGATCCCACCCAATCTGGGCCCCACACTCAGCACAGGCAAACTGCTGAAATCCTTCCATCCTAGAGCCCTGCCCTTCTCTGGGGAGCTGGGTGAGGTCATCCTGGGCTTCCAAGCCCCAGAGAAGTTGGAAGAGGGACAGGACACCCTGGAACTATATTCTGTCTTGTCGTCCCTCTGTCACCTCCCCACCCAAGGAAAATCAGACATGTGGTTTCCAAGGCCTCCTCTGGCTTTGGGAAACTCCTGTTCACAGAACCCGGAACTGGGCTCTCTTGCCTAACTCACCCACCTCCTGCAGCTGAAGCAGCGACCATGCGCAGTGAGCTTGTCCTGAGCTTCCCTCCCTGCTCTTCCATGCTTCTCTTAGAGCTCTCAGTGGTGATACCTGTGCACGCGTGGGAGGCACCTCAGACTGGAGCCTTGTCCGAGCAGTAGGGATGGTTTCTGTTAGGCAGAGTCCCATGACTGGGCAGGGGCAGGAAGGGGTGTGAGGTTACCTGCATTCTGACTGTCACAAGTGCCTCCAGGAGTGTGTGTTGTGGTCTCTATAAGGCAAAGACTTGATCTCTCTCTCTTGTGAGTGCTGCAGTGGACATGGAGGGGTCTTTGAGCCAGGCAGTATGCTTGGTGTGCTCATGAGAGAATCCTTCAGGATAAGGTTGGCCAGCTGCCTTCACTCCCTGACCCATGTGCTGACCAGGAAAGGGAGGCATGCACAGTGTCACCGTAGCAACAAGCTCACTCCTGGATGACACCCAGAGGTGGGAACCTGCCCAGGTGTCCAGGTGAAATTCTGGCCCACGTTTCAAAGATCAGGGGCTCACTTCCTGGGAACCCTGTAGCTCTAGTGGTCAAGAAGTCCTATGGCTGCAGCAGTGTCCTGATCACCCACTGGTTGCCCAAGGGTGTGGGCATCCTCAGCCTGGGGGCCAGTCCCTGGTGTATGTCCTAGGTGGTGACAGAAAGGTAGGGAGTTAGTGGATCACCAAGCCTGCTATAAGGGGCACCACCTGCTTGTCCTTGAGCAGCCCTGCATTCTTCTCCATTACCCAGGTGGAGTAGCAGTGGAGATCACAAAAGTTGTGCAGAAGAATTTCAAAGAAAGCTGTCCTATCCAGGTCCTCTGACTGTCCTGGCCTGAAAGTGAGAGGATCAAGGAAGAACAAGGGTTTATTGATGCTACGCTGCATCTGTGAAGGAGCACAAAGCAGCTGCCAGTGAAGCAGTGCATGGAATTCAGCTTCAGAGGCTGGAAAAGGCAGGAAAG